CTCTCTCTCTCTCTCTCTCTCTCTCTCTCTCTCTCTCTCTCTCTCTCTCTCTCTCTCTCTCTCTCTCTCTCTCTCTCTCTCTCTCTCTTTGGGGATGGTGATGGTGCCCCTGGTCTCTCTCTCTCTCTCTCTCTCTGGAGGGAGGACAGAGGAGAGAGGACATAACGAGAGAGAGAAAGAGACAGAGAGAGAGAGAGAGAGCACGGATTCACGATGAGCACGGATCCACAATGAGCACCGAGCACGAAAAGCATGTATCCACGATGAGCACGAGAAGCACGGATCAACAATGAGCACCGAGCACCAAATAAAAGCATGGATCCCCAATGAGCACGAATCCACGATGAGCACGTATCCACGATGAGCACCGAGCACCAAAAACACGGATCGGCGATGAGCACGTGATTATGCACCAAAGAAAAGCACAGATCCACAATGAGCACAAAAAACGCTTATACACGATGAGCACCGAGCACCAAAAGCACAGATCGACTATGAGCGCGTGATCATGCACCAAAGAAAAGCATGGATCCACGATCAGCACAGCATCATGCACCAAAGCACGGATCTGCGATCAGCACGTGACAAAACGCACGGATCCGCGATCAGCACGTGACAAAAAGCACGGATCCACGACGAGCACCGAGCACCAAAGATGAGCAGCAAGTTCCCGTCGAGTACCAAAGGAGAGCACGTCCTTGAGGATCTGCATCACTTCTTCAAGGTGTCTCATGTGCTCCTCCATCGATTTGCTGACGATTAGTATGTCATCCAGATATACAACAACAAACCGGTTGATCTGATTGCGAAATACCTTATTCATGAGACTTTGAAAGGTGGCTGGCGCATTCGTGAGACCGAAGGGCATGAATGTAAACTCGTACATCCCATCGCGAGTTTTGAATGCAGTTTTATGCTGGTCTGCAGGATCGACTTCAATCTGGTGGTAGCCAGACTTGAGATCGATCTTGCTGAAGACCCTGAATCCACCTGCAGCATCAAGCAAATCATCGATACGTGGCAAAGGATATCCATTCTTTCTTGTGATTCGGTTCAATCCGCGGTAATCAATACACATCCGTAGTTTGCCTCCTTTCTTAGGGACAAACAGAACCGGTGCACCAAACTCAGACTCGCTTCGTTTGATCCATCCTTTCCCAATCATATCATCAATCTGGCTTCGCAGCTCCTCTAATTCGTCTGAGCCCATTCGATAGACACAACCCTTTGGAGGAGTGCTACCTTCAATCAACTCGATCTTGTGTCGGACCAGACGCACGGGAACTTCATGTGGTTGGGCCAAGACTTCAGGAAACCGGTTGAGAAGGTTGCGAATTTCTGACGGGATTTCCGGTGGTGGTTCATCACTTTCAGGTGCAAGCGTACCAGATTGCATAGGTGCAGCCAAAACAACAGAATTGGAAGTAGAGTCATTTGGACTAGAAGTAGATTTAGTAGAGGTAGAAGTAGTTGCCTCAGAAGTAGAAACGACATGCAAAGTAGAATCATTATGTACAACAAAAATAGAAGGCACATGAGCAGACCTAACAAAGGCTATATACATTTGCTCATCAACTTTGCGCCTGCGCCACTTTTTGCAGAATTGCATTGCATTGAGAAAAGTTACTTGGGACTCGYGCGGCTCATCCAAGAGGACTGGACGCTCRATTCCCATGGCATCTTTGACCATGAACTRTGAGTCCTTCCACGTGGTTCTTTCACAYTGGGCTTGCAACCAGCCCAAGCCAATAACCGCGTCGAAGGGGCACTGATCAAGGACATAGAAGTTCAGTTCATGCGTGATTGTGCGGTCTGCGTCAAAGGTAGTGCGCACACCTTTGACTGCATGCGTAGAGGTGACAACCTCTTGGTTGCCTACTTGGGTCCGGCAAGGATTCTGCAAAGTCACTTGCTTCATCCCCAACCGTGCCTTACGAATGTCGTGCGGTGAGAAGTAGTTGGCGGTTGCACCACAATCACCCAACACACGGATGTAACGACCATTAATGTAGCGTTTGAAGAAGATTAACTTCATTCTCCCTTGCGTGCGTTCTTGCTTCATATGAGCTCAGCGCGTCAATAGAGCATGGAAGTCAATTTCTTCCGACTCTACCCAAGGCTCCTTGTATAGGATGTGTATTTTCTCAGCCTTGGAATCAGCATTAGATGGGGTCTCATGAGAGGTTTGTTGAGTGGGATCAAAATCCAGAGAAGGATCTGCATTTACATGTTCAGCCTCTCCATCCGTAGAGTGTGTTGATGATGTCTCTACCCCCGTTGCTAGTTTCCCTGCTGCAATYTGAAACAATGTTGGACTGAGTGTCYTGGTTTGGTGCAATGCAGGCAAACCCCTTTCTTCACCCAGTGTTTTCACTCACTTTCACTGATCCGGAGATCTACCCATGGTTTGGTGGCAGGATCTTTCGGTTTGGGTGGAATTTTCGCTCCCTTGGGAAGAAGAATGGTGTTGGTGTTATTCTTTACTGTGGTCCTTGGTCCCTTACTTTTAAAGGCAGTCTTCTTGAAGCCATTCATAGATTCATCATCATTCACACACTCAGACTCATGGGCTGACGAAGAGCAAGATGCCTTGCAACCTTGCTCTTGATCGTCATCAAGAGAAGGATCCTCTGCGAAGGTCTCCTCGTCATCCTCAAGTAGATCGTGCGCTGAAAAACGGTTGCTGCCTGGAAACCGTTTGCGACCGGTGGACTTTTTGCCACCCGATCCACTCGGGAGGTCTTGTACCTCCAGCTTGACTAAGTCCCGCATGAGGGTAAGCCGATTTGTATATGCGCTGAGTCTGAGCCCCAAGCGATGTGTTATAGTAGAGGGGATCGTGCCTTTTATCACATCCAAGCAAGACTGCGCAGTTATTTCCAAATCACGAGTAGCAAAAAATTTACTAACATACTGTTGCAGACTATGCATGGTGTCGGTCCACTTGTTGTGCTTGAGCTTGTCAAGCTTGAGTCTAGCTTTGGCTGCAGCATGTGGATCAGCATACTGTTTGATCAAGAGTTCCTCGAGTGTAGCTACAGGCGTAGCCTCCAACCATTTGTTCAGGTCTATTCTCTTATAGCCTGCTTGTACAACTTGGATTTCCAAGAATCCTCTTACGACAGGTTCCACACTGGTCCCTAGGACCGACGATTGAGTAACTGGGAGTGTCCCCAACACATCGAAGTAGGATCGCATGGAGCTGATCCAAGATTCGATGTCGTCCTTTCCGTCATACTTAGACGGAATCTGTGCCGCCTTTCTATCGATGTAAGGAAAGTTGCAGCTTGGACCAGYGGCTGCTGGGTCCGAACTCGGGACTGCAACAGTTCCAGAATGCCCTGCACTGCTACTTGCCATTGCCGCAGCAGCAGCAGCAGCGGGGTCTGGACCTGYTGCAGATCCGGATAGGCTGTTGGCCACACTCAAAGAAGAAGAAGAAAAACTTCAAGCAGAAGACACATTAAGAGGGGAAAGAACGGACTGACCAAAGCATTAGAAGCAGGGTAGGCAGGTGGAAGGATGCTTTGGGTTGGCTGTACGTTAGCGAATTGTTGCAGCTGGTCACGGTGCTGCTGCGCCATCAGGGTCATGTCTTCTTGCAACTTCTTGAGTTCGTCGAACACTTTGGCGAGTTGGCCAGCATGGTCCTCAACAGCCCGGGCGTCTACCAAAGCCCGGAGGAGTGGAACGGTTTTCTCTTCCACCTCCTCATCGGTTAGGGCAGGCAAGGTGCAAAAAATGGCTTCATGAGCCTTTACCTTTTCCTCCCTCTCCTTCTCCTTCTCCTCCTCTTCCCTCTTCAATGCTTTCTCGTAGAAGAATCGGTACTGCGCTTTTTCTGCCTCGGGGGTAGCGTCCATTTGCAGCTTCCATTCTGCTGCAGATGCCATAGTGGAGGATGAGGTTGTTAGCAAGCCTCTCAAGAGGGGTCCGTACTTCCTCAAACTTATGGGGCGAACACTCCTCTTCCCTTTCCTCACTCGTTCAAGAGCAACTCTCATAAGCTTCTCTCTTCTCTTTCTCTCTCTTGTTTGCGATTGTGTAGACGCAGGCATTTAACGAACCAAGTCAAAGAATCAGCTTGAAATCAATCAGAAGAGAAGGTGGAACTCCTAGTCGGAGCGGCAATTCATTTGGACTGGAGAGCAGTCAAAACAGAAAAAAGAAAAGATAAGAGAGATCTGATCCATCCACACAGTCTGGACCGACTACGTATGAGGTCCTCTCAAGCCTAGCCGGACTCAGCTCCGTGAAGACGCAGCAAATCAAATTCAAGGTGTACAGCGAGATGCAAGAGAGAATTGAGTGGTGCCCAAGGTGCGAGTCGGGCGACGGATCGTATGGTAAAGTCTGATAAAACTTCCCAGCGGAGATCCCCTCCGCAGCGAGTGTCCAGGTCCGAAAGCATAAAGTCTGAGTCCCAATCAGATAGAGCAAGGTAATTGACGTCAACAGATTAGGCCTGACGAGCCCTTCTTGTTTGGGCCTGGTCCCACTGAGTCCCAAATGGTCCCGGTGGAGTCAGAACCGGGTCCCAACCAACAAGAGTTCTACAAAGACGTACTCTATCCCTACCGAATTGAGAAACGAAATTTTGCCCCAGAAAGAACCTACAGACTACAGCTGTTCAGAATGAAATAATCAAAGCACTATAGAGAGATATCGCATGGCAAACAAGATACTCCATTGATTCACTCGTCAGGTGAGTAGGTAGTCCACACACCTCACACACAATCAAGACTATGGAGGATGGAAGAAGAACCCAGAAAACCCCAACAGGCAGTCAATTCCATGCACACACACATGGGCACCCTCATGGCACGGCACTTACCTGAGTGGTCGGGCTCTTGAGATGAAAAGAACTCACCCCCCTCTCACATAGTCCTCCTTACCCAATTAGCATCCTCTACACTAGTGTCCTATCATCTATAAGGGTCAACATCTACCCCAAAGTACAAAGCCGGATCCCCCGTCAATGTTGAAGATCAAAGCAGCAACTTGCAGTCCGTACGTGCAGATATGGCTGCCACCCTCAAGCTCGCCTAACTTGAGGGGAGCCCTAAAGTCACTCCTCRTCTTCCTTGAAGTCCAAATTCAAGTTGTAGGTGCCCTTCACTGTCGCCTCTCTCAAATTGCATCACGAAGTCCCACCTTGTGTCTCGCCACCACAAACATGCACTCAAACAACCTGGCCGGGTTTAGTGTCGACCCTACACGACCCTGCCAGGTGGGAGCAGCTTCCCTTCACCACGCTGCCCCACTTAACCCTAACTTCCAGCCCTAACCCTAAGTGGTTAGCCCTTACTACTAGGGTTAGGGTTATGGCAGCAAAGTCAACTCTCGCCAGCAAGTAGAATCCGCTCTGATACCAATGTTACGATCCTGGCCAAATTCGAAGTATACATTCATCTGAAACTACAATGCCGTCCAATTGCAAAAAGAAATGAATGAACTTGAGAGGAAAGAGAGGGAAAGAAGAAGAAGAAGTGAGAAAGAAGAAGATCATGATGTACTCCAGCATAGACCAATGCAAAGGCTCTTCTTCTTCGCCAGCCAATCCCTTCCTCCTTGTCTCCTCCCTCTTATTCAAACAAGAAATAACAATAATGATGTTGAATGACTGAACCAGAATCAATGTCTGAATCCCACTTCTACTGCAGGCACAACATGAGGTCCACCATAGCCATAGCCACCCTTCCTCTTCCTCTACATTCAGGCCGAGGCTATGGCGGACTATTGAGGTTTCAGCCTCCTGTCCAAAGGACAACCCAAAGCAGCTATGCCGCTGCCCCACTTCAAGGTCATCACCATGCAGCTATGTCGCTGCCCACTCAACCACCATGCCTGACTCTGTCCCGAGCTTCCTTGATGCGGCACTACCCCAACGGGGGCCTTCCTGATGCAGCGCCGAGCAAGGAGATGAAGATGGTGTCTACCATAGCCAGGTAGTGCCTCGCCACTCTCCTCCTTGGTCCCCTTCTCCCTCCTCCTCCTACCGGTAGAGCTCCACCATAGCCAAGGTGGAAGCTCCCGGCTTCTACCTCCCAACAGCGTTGTAGTACCCAGCGCCACTCCAGCCAACGCTCCAGCAGCGTGTCGCCAAACTTGCACACTGAAGAATGAGGCTGGGCTCTCCGCCCGGCCTCTTGATATAGCGGCCTACTTGCCTCCTAGGCGGTGACTTCCAGGCCGATCGACCTCCCCAAGCAACCGGTACTTCCTCCGTTTCGGAGGCAAACATCATTGCAGACCCTTATATTACCCGTACAGGCTCTAGACTCAGACTGGTTGGACTTGTACTGGCCTAGACCTACCCTACCGCTACTGGACTCTAAAAATGCCAACTTTGTCTTCTTCTGCTCGGCCTCCAGTACCCCTTCATGCCAACTGCAGTGGGGTGCGGTATCGGCCTACCTGCCCACTTGAGTGTTTTTCCGCTACCCCATGGGCCCCGGGGCCGCTAGCTTCGCCACTTGAGTGTTTACCGTGCTGCAACCCTATGCCACGGCCACAGGTAAGTACCGGCCCTACGGGCCTACCAAACGAGCAAGTACCCTTCCGGGTCACACGCACACTCATGCAGACAAGCACTCAGACAGACACGCAAGACCACAGACACGCACGCACACAGACTTAGAAAACACAGCAGAATGCGGGAATCTCATCAAGGCATCCATTCCATCAGCAGAACTTCAGAAATCAGCAGTGTTCTCAGTTTGTTTTATGACGGGTCATTACACTACCCCCCCCTCAAGAGCGAGGTCCCTTTGAGCGAGTAACTCAATCAGAGTCCTTGCATAATGCATCGTAGGTGTAGATAGTAAAGAGAGATCGGGTGTGTTTCGTAGGAGTCTGGGTAGCAGCGAATTTTGGTTGCTGTTCAGAACTTATCAATCGTTCAAGGCGTTAACGACGCGAGGTGCACTCTGCAGTAAGTCCTTCTTAGCGATCCAGTAGAAGTCATTCAGTGGGTGGTAAAGAAAATGTACTTTGTACTCTTTGTTTCTCCCTTTTCCACTTTGTTCGACGATTCTATCAACCTCGTGACCGCCATTGATTGCGCGGGGAATCATCGATTCTCGGTACTTGAACGTCTCAGGTGATTCATACGGAAACAACTTCGATGCGTGAAAGACTGGATATGTGCGCAAATGAGCAGGCACGTCGATCGTATACGAAGGGCCAAAGGAATCACTCCCTACCTGGTTCAACACCTTCCACGGACTGTAATACTGAGGAAGAAGCTTTCGTGATACACCTTCTTCAAAAAACTCATATATTTTGACCCAGACATAACTTCCCACTATGAAAGGCGCAGGCTGGCGCTTTTTGTTAGCATGTTTAATCATAGCACTGCGTCGCCTTTCCATAGCTGCGACAACAACTTTGAGCAAGCGATCAAACTTAGCGTTGTAGCCTGGCTGGCCAGGTGTTAGGCCAGGTGGCTGTTCAGGGAACAAATAAGATAGAGGATTGCGGATTTTCCATCCAAGATGCAGCCGGTTAGGCGTCATCCCGGTGGAGGAGTGGATGGAGTTGTTGCGCAACCCCTGCACAATTGGCAACTCCTCATCCCAAGAGTTCTGATCAGGTACAATTAGAGCCCTGAGAAGTTGGATCACTGTCTGGTTGATCTCCTCGGCCAGTCCATTGGCTTCGGGATGTCGACCAGACGTCATCTTGAGTTTCATGTCATAGGTCTCGGAGGTGAAATCTTTCCAATCTGCACTTATGAACCTGGTGTCCCGATCACTCACAAGAGTCTTCGGGGGGGCATAATGCAGAATGTATCTCTTGTTAAACTCATTGATCACAAGGTCAATTGGGGCGTGAGGTGGCAAGGGGATCAAATTCAGAAATTCCGAGAAACGATCAACGATCACCATCACTTGTGAATAACCGTTTCTACTCTTCTTCCCATGTCCGTGAAGTCAATAGAAACAGACTCACCCGGGCCATCAGGGATAGGAAAAGGGTGCAGCAGCCCATAGGGCTTCTGTCGAGACGGTTTGATGCGTTGACAAACTTCACACTCAGCCACAAACCTTTGTGCCATTCTTTTCATTCCAGGCCACACAAACTTTTCCAACAGATTCTCGTATGTCTTCTCAACCCCGAAGTGTCCACTCCGACCATGAGCCAAATCCAAGAAGTGGGTCATGATCGGCTCATGGTTGGGCACACACAATCGGTCATGCTTCTCGTAGCGTCGAAAGAGAAGGCCCTTACATTCATGCAAATCGGGCTGACTGCTAGGGTCAGCCCGAATCTGCTCAAGGATGGGACTAAGTTCCGGATCCTTGGCAGTATGCTCAATAAGTTCCTCCTTCAAATTTTTACGGAGATCATAGGAACCCACAAGGCAAGTCATGTACTCAGGGTGGCGAGACAAAGCATCCGCAACTCGATTATAACAACCTTTCTTGTGCTTAATCTCAAAATCATACACATCAATCTCATGCAGCCAGCGGGTAAATGTGGTTGAGGGATTAATCTGTGTCTGAATCCATTTCAAAGTCTTGTGATCAGAGAAAACTTTGAAATGGCGACCCAAGAGGTAGTGTTTCCAATGATCTAGTGCCTCTCTCAAGGCGTAGAGCTCTCGCATGTAAGTGGAAGCAGCTACCTTGTGACTGGGCATGCGTTTGCTGTAGTATTCAAGCGGACGTAAGCCATCACCATCGTCTTGCTGCAGCACCGCACCAATCCCATACAGACTTGCATCCGTTGTTACTACGAACGTAAGCTTGGGATCCGCAATGCGGAGCACCGGATGACTCACCAAAGCCTCTTTCAATGCTTCGAAAGTTGTCGTGCATTCCTCATTCCATGTGTAGCACGATCCCCCACTTGACTCGCACCTTAACTACCACTCAATTCTCTCTTGCATCCCGCTGTACACCTTGAATCTGATTTGTTGCGTCTTCACGGAGTTGAGTCCGGCTAGGCTTGAGAGGACCTCATATGTAGTCGGTCCAGACAGTGTGGCTGGATCAGATCTCTCTAATCTTTTTTTTTTTTTTTTTTTAATGCTCTCCAGTCCAAATGAATTGCCGCTCCGACTAGGAGTTCCACCTTCTCTTCTGATTGATTTCAAGCTGAATCTTTGACTTGGTTCGTTAAATGCCTGCGTCTACACGATCGCAAACAAGAGAGAGAGAGAGAGAACAGAGAAGCTTATGAGAGTTGCTCTTGAGGGAGTGAGGAGAGGGAAGAGGAGTGTTCGCCCCATAAGTGTGAGGAAGTACGGACCCCTCTTGAGAGACTTGCTAACAACCTCATCCTCCACTATGGCATCTGCAGCAGAATGGAAGCTGCAAATGGACGCTGCCCCCGAGGCAGAAAAAACGCAGTACCAATTCTTCTACGAGAAAGCATTGAAGAGGGAAGACGAGGAGAAGGAGAAGGAGAGGGAGGAAAAGGTAAAGGCTCATGAAGCCATTTTTTGCACCTTGCCTGCCCTAACCGATGAGGAGGTGGAAGAGAAAACCTTTCCACTCCTCCGGGCTTTGGTAGACGTCCGGGCTGCTGAGGACCATGCTGGCCAACTCGCCAAAGTGTTCGACGAACTCAAGAAGTTGCGAGAAGACATGACCCTGACGGCACAGCAGCACCGTGACCAGCTTCTACAGTTCGCTAACGTACAGCCAGCCCAAAGTATCCTTCCGCCTGCCTACCCTGCTTCTAGTGCTTCGTGTCAGTCCGTTCTTGCCCCTCTTAATGTGTCTTCTGCTTGAAGTTCTTCTTCTTCTCCTTTGAGTGTGGCCAACAGCCTATCCGGATCTGCAGCAGGTCCAGACCCCGCTGCTGCTGCTGCTGCGGCAATGGCAAGTAGCAGTGCAGGGCATTCTGGAACTGTTGCAGTCCCGAGTTCGGACCCAGCAGCCACTGGTCCAAGCTGCAACTTTCCTTACATCGATAGAAAGGCGGCACAGATTCCGTCTAAGTATGACGGAAAGGACGACATCGAATCTTGGATCAGCTCCATGCGATCCTACTTCGATGTGTTGGGGACACTCCCAGTTACTCARTCGTCGGTCCTAGGGACCAGTGTGGAACCYGTCGTAAGAGGATTCTTGGAAATCCAAGTTGTACAAGCAGGCTATAAGAGAATAGACCTGAACAAATGGTTGGAGGCTACGCCTGTAGCTACACTCGAGGAACTCTTGATCAAACAGTATGCTGATCCACATGCTGAAGCCAAAGCTAGACTCAAGCTTGACAAGCTCAAGCACAACAAGTGGACCGACACCATGCATAGTCTGCAACAGTATGTTAGTAAAGTTTTTGCTATTCCTGATTTGGAAATAACTGCGCAGTTTTGCTTGGATGTGATAAAAGGCACGGTCCCCTCTACTATAACACATCGCTTGGGGCTCAGACTCAGCGCATATACAAATCGGCTTACCCTCATGCGGGACTTAGTCAAGCTGGAGGCACAAGACCTCCCGGGTGGATCGGGTGGCAAAAAGTCCACCGGTCGCAAACGGTTTCCAGGCAGCAACCGTTTTTCAGCGCACGATCTACTTGAGGATGACGAGGAGACCTTCGCAGAGGATCCTTCTCTTGATGACGATCAAGAGCAAGGTTGCAAGGCATCTTGCTCTTCGTCAGCCCATGAGTCTGAGTGTGTGAATGATGATGAATCTATGAATGGCTTCAAGAAGACTGCCTTTAAAAGTAAGGGACCAAGGACCACAGTAAAGAATAACACCAACACCATTCTTCTTCCCAAGGGAGCGAAAATTCCACCCAAACCGAAAGATCCTGCCACCAAACCATGGGTAGATCTCCGGATCAGTGAAAGTGAGTGAAAACACTGGGTGAAGAAAGGGGTTTGCCTGCATTGCACCAAACCARGACACTCAGTCCAACATTGTTTCARATTGCAGCAGGGAAACTAGCAACGGGGGTAGAGACATCATCAACACACTCTACGGATGGAGAGGCTGAACATGTAAATGCAGATCCTTCTCTGGATTTTGATCCCACTCAACAAACCTCTCATGAGACCCCATCTAATGCTGATTCCAAGGCTGAGAAAATACACATCCTATACAAGGAGCCTTGGGTAGAGTCGGAAGAAATTGACTTCCATGCTCTATTGACGCGCTGAGCTCATATGAAGCAAGAATGCGCGCAAGGGAGAACGAAGTTAATCTTCTTCAAACTCTACATTAATGGTCGTTACATCCGTGCGTTGGGTKATTGTGGTGCAACCGCCAACTACTTCTCACCGCACGACATTCGTAAGGCACGCTTGGGGATGAAGCAAGTGACTTTGCAGAATACTTGCCGGACCCAAGTAGGCAACCAAGAGGTTGTCACCTCTACGCATGCAGTCAAAGGTGTGCGCACTACCTTTGACACAGACCGCACAATCACGCATGAACTGAACTTCTATGTCCTTGATCAGTGCCCCTTCGACGCGGTTATTGGCTTGGGCTGGTTGCAAGCCGAATGTGAAAGAACCACGTGGAAGGACTCATAGTTCATGGTCAAAGATGCCATGGGAATTGAGCGTCCAGTCCTCTTGGATGAGCCGCGCGAGTCCCAAGTAACTTTTCTCAATGCAATGCAATTCCGCAAAAAGTGGCGCAAGCGCAAAGTTGATGAGCAAATGTATATAGCCTTTGTTAGGTCTGCTCATGTGCCTTCTATTTTTGTTGTACATAATGATTCTACTTTGCATGTCGTTTCTACTTCTGAGGCAACTACTTCTACCCCTACTAAATCTACTTCTAGTCCAAATGATTCTACTTCCAATTCTGTTGTTTTGGCTGCACCTATGCAACCCGGTACGCTTGCACCTGAAAGTGATGATCTACCACCAGAAATCTCGTCAGAAATTCGCAACCTTCTCAACCGGTTTCCTAAAGTCTTGGCCCAACCACATGAAGTTTCCGTGCGTATGGTCCGACACAAGATCGAGTTGATTGAAGGTTGCACTCCAAAGGGTTGTGTCTATCAAATGGGCTCAGGTGAATTGGAGGAGCTGCGAAGGGAGATTGATGATATGATTGGGAACGGATGGATCAAACCAAGCGAGTCTGAGTTTGGTGCACCGGTTCTGTTTGTCCCTAAGAAAGGAGGCAAACTACGGATGTGTATTGATTACCATGGATTGAATCGAATCACAAGAAAAAATGCATATCATTTGCCACATATTGATGATTTGCTTGATGTTGCAGGTGGATGCAAGGTCTTCGGCAAGATCGATCTCAAGTCTGCCTACCACCAGATTGAAGTCGATCCTACAGACCAGCATAAAACTGCATTCAAAACTCGCGATGGTCTGTACGAGTTTACAGTCACGCCCTTCGGTCTCACGAATGCGCCGCCCCCTTTCAAGTCTCATGGATAAGGTATTTCGCAATCAGATCAACCGATTTGTTGTTGTATATCTAGATGACATACTAATCTTCAGCAAATCGATGGAGGAGCACATGAGACACCTTGAAGAAGTGATGCAGATCCTCAAGGACGTGCAACTCCATCTCAACTTGGCGAAATCTGAGTTTGGGAGGGACAGCGTCATCTACCTTGGACATCGGTTGTCTGTTGCAGGCCTACAGCCCGAGGCAACCAAAGTTGAGGTCATCCGAAAGTGGCCTCAACCTGCGAATGTTCGCGAGTTGCGTTCTTTGCTTGGTCTTGCATCGTACTACCGTAAGTTTGTGCCCAAATTCTCTATCATCGCTCGTCCGCTGTCTAGACTAACACCCAGAAAACCCCAACAGGCAGTCAGTTCCATGCACACACACATGGGCACCTTGGTGGCACGGCACTTACCTGAGTGGCCGGGCTCTTGAGATGAAAAGAACTCACCCCCCTCACACATAGTCCTTCTGACCCAATTAGCATCCTCTACACTACTCTCCTATCATCTAGGAGGGTCAACATCTACCCCAAAGTACAAAGCCGGATCCCCCGTCAATGTTGAAGATCAAAGCAGCAACTTGCAGTCCGTACGTGCAGATATGGCTGCCACCCTCAAGCTCGCCTAACTTGAGGGGAGCCCTAAAGTCACTCCTCATCTTCCTTGAAGTCCAGATTCAAGTTGTAGGTGCCCTTCACTGTCGCCTCTCTCAAATTGCATCACGAAGTCCCACCTTGTGTTTTGCCACCACAAACATTCACTCAAACAACCTGGCCGGGTCTAGTGTCGACCCTACACGACCCTGCCAGGTGGGAGCAGCTTCCCTTCACCACGCTGCCCCACTTAACCCTAACTTCCAGCCCTAACCCTAAGTGGTTAGCCCTTACCACTAGGGTTAGGGTTATGGCAGCAAAGTCAACTCTCGCCACCAAGTAGAATCCGCTCAGATACCAATGTTACGATCCTGGCCAAATTCGAAGTATACATTCATTTGAAAGTACAATGCCATCCAATTGCAAAAAGAAATGAATGAACTTGAGAGGAAAGAGAGGGAAAGAAGAAGAAGAAGAAGTGAGAAAGAAGAAGATGATGATGTACTCCAATATAGACCAATGTCAAGCCTCTTCTTCTTCGCCAACCAATCCCTTCCTCCTTATCTCCTCCGTCTTATTCAAACAAGAAATAACAATAATGATGTTGAATGACTGAACCAGAATCAATGTCCGAATCCCACTTCTGCTGCAGGCACAACATGAGGTCCACCATAGCCATGGCCACCCTTCCTCTTCCTCTACATTCAGGCCGAGGCTATGGCGGACTATTGAGGCTTCAGCCTCCTGTCCAAAGGACAACCCAAAGCAGCTATGCCGCTGCCCCACTTCAAGGCCATCACCATGCAGCTATGCCGCTGCCCACTCAGCCACCATGCCTGAGTCTGTCCCGAGCTTCCTTGATGCGGCACTACCCCAACGGGGGCCTTCCTGATGCAGCGCCTAGCAAGGAGATGAAGATGGTGTCTACCATAGCCAGGTAGTGCCTCGCCACTCTCCTCCTTGGTCCCCTTCTCCCTCCTCCTCCTACCAGTAGAGCTCCACCATAGCCAAGGTGGAAGCTCCCGGCTTCTTCCTCCCAGCAGCGCTGTAGTACCCAGCGCCACTCCAGCCAGCGCTCCAGCAGCGGGTCGCCAAACTTGCACACTGAAGAATGAGGCTGGGCTCTCCGCCCGGCCTCTTGATATAGCGGCCTACTTGCCTCCTGGGCGGTGACTTCCAGGTCGCTTGGCCTCCCCAAGCAACCAGTACTTCCTCCATTTCGGAGGGAAACATCATTGCAGACCCTGATATTACCCGTACAGGCTCTAGACTGGTTGGACTGGTACTGGCCTAGACCTACCCTACCACTACTGGACTCTAAAAATGCCAACTTTGTCTTCTTCTGCTCGGCCTTCAGTACCCCTTCATGCCAACTGCAGTGGGGTGCGGTATCGGCCTACCTGCCCACTTGAGTGTTTTTCCGCTACCCCATGGGCCGCGGGGCCGCTAGCTTCGCCACTTGAGTGTTTCCCTTGCTGCAACCCTTAATGCCACGGCCACAGGTAAGTACCGGCCCTACGGGCCTACCAAACGAGCAAGTACTGTTCCGGGTCACACGCACACTCATGCAGACAAGCACTCAGACAGACACGCAAGACCACAGGCACGCACGCACACAGACTTAGAAAACACAGCCGAATGCGGGAATCTCAGCAAGGCATCCATTCCATCAGCAGAACTTCAGAAATCAGCAGTGTTCTCAGTCTGTTTTATGACAGGTCATTACAGTACATAAGAACTCCCCCACACAGTTGCAATCCAATTACATATCTTGATTCCAGTTGGCACCGCTATAATCATGGTTGTGTGCGGTGAAACAAGCTCGGGTCAATTCAACCACTGCCGTCTTCCCCCGAACAGAATGTACGGTGTTTATATCTGTATCGCGACTAACATTTGTCCATATACAGCGATAATGACCGAATTTGCACTACAGCACGATTGTACATACAATACCCACATTAACAACAACAAAAAGATTGGTTGATCGATTCCATACCTGCGCCGTTTGCTCCGATAAGGAGACATCGACTGCCCGGCTCCAATCGCAGAGTGAAATCTGACAGCAGCGGCGGCTCGCTGGGGTAACTGAATTCCAAGGAGTTCACAGCTATGGCTGCTGTATCTCCTCGCCCATCGTTTCTCTCGGAGGTCGATGGGACGGCCATAGCTGCTTAATAGTCGTCGACGCCACACGTTTGTATTTAATTCCTGAGACGACGAAGATGTCCTTCCCTCTTGCCTGTCCCCAACCCGGTGATGACACAGGTATACAAGTGAAATGCCGCCCACGCCTTTCGTTTCTTCCTGCTGTCCGTTTCTCATGCAGTATGGGTAGAGAGCTACTTGAACCGCCGACCTCGGGAACTCGTCACATCGAGACGGAACCAATCAGTCAACACGATTATTAACAATACCAACACCGCCAGATTCTATCGCCATTGATACTCCACTTACACTCTCCTCCGCTTTGCACATATGCACTATGCACTGCTCTGCTTTGCTTTCCACGTGTACGTCGCTCCGCTGCTTTTGTCTGTATTTCCGTCACTCTCTGCCAGTGCACGCCACTCCCACTTTCCGCTAACCCACCGTAATCCGCCACTTCAAGCGAGCGTTCAACGGGGCCGGGGAAGGAGCGTGGAAGGCGCACAGGAGGGGCGCACCAGAGATGCAGCAGGTCAATGCTTCATTCAGTAGATCAGCAAAACGACCTGCATAGCAGCAGACGGCAGATTCTCAGCAAGCTCACCGCAGAACTAATAAACCTAAGCTACCCATTCGTTCAATATGCAGTCGGCAGGCAACTAGCATCATATCGTGAAACATTGACAAGTAGGCAATTGTTTCATTGATTGATTGAATGAGTCATCACAGACAATTAGATGTAACCAATCTGTGATGGTGAGCAACCCCACCCCCCCGGTTGGAATGAAGCAGCGTGCCTGATGTTGAGCCACCCTCATACCCATCACAGTTGTGTAGGGATTGTCCGGCCTCAGATCTGATGGTGACCTGCAAACACAAACAGAAAGGAAAAGAAAAAAAAAACGATGACTTCCCCTTTTAGTTATCACAGCTCTACCCATATCACAAACCCCCCACCCTCTCATAGCATTCTCTCTCGCTCTACGTCCAACCACCTAGTCACCCACGATCCCCTAACAGTGTGAATCCGAACATTAGTACGTAAGCAATTACGCAATTCCATGAATGGATGGAACCATGACCAACTAAGCCGACATGATTCCTGATCACCATCCCAATTGGCATCAAGGCTGTTATAGACTTCAAAATTGAAAAGAAAACAACAACAAAGCACTAACAGTCCTGCTCTAGTCTGCCCACTGTGGGGTAGCTCACAAATCTTCATATTGCGTTGATTCTACGCAAGTCCAGCATCCCAATGGAGACGATGCGAATGCCGGGTAGGGAGGAGACAAACGTGTGAGGGATGACTGAATCATGGAGTGAGTTGGGAACAGAAGAGCAGAGGGAGAGAGAGAGAGGGGTGAGTGGGGCAAGGGGGAGGAGGGAAGGGGGCGGGAGGATAGGATGGCATTGAAACCGGGAAGGGATGGAGCAGATCAAAGGAGAGGTTCAAAACAAATGGAAAGCTGGGGAGCGAACATCAGGTTCAGGGCCAAGCGCCACTGGTCAGTGTTATGTACGTGCTGAGAGTGAACGAACCTTGCCGTTTATCTGACCAGGTTCATTTCTTTCAAGTATGAACATAGCACCAGTTGGGCCTCGTTCTCATGCTCACTGGTTAAGAGCTGACGGGCCTAGAGAACCTCGAGAAAGATGGATAGGGCCACATCTTCCGTAGAATCTGGTTGAGGGCATCCTCGTACTAGTCCTTCGACGCATCTGACAGCAACTACCAGCAGATTCATTCATATAATAACAATAAAAAAAGGTGTGTGAGGGATGGCCCTCAGAAGGCGAACCAGAAGGTCCACATCTTTTGCTAATCCAAAGCCTCGATTCTCTCATCAATGCCACATCTTTCCTCGTCATACCATGATCACTCTTCCGCCCCTACCATCTTCTCCCGCATAGCTGTACTTGGGGCAAATTCCAGTGCAGATACAGCGGTAATGATCTTACATATTTGGGAGAAGGTGGTAGCCAAAGGCACACCTCCCTCTGTCCCACACATTCATCCTTAAATGTGTCCTTCCCCCTCCAATCCCCCTTCCCGTTCTTCCATCCACCCCCCATCCCTCCCATTTTTCCACCCGCTTAGCTTGCCTTTGGAAAACACCCTAAGGTTCCTCCCTCTCAACATACCCGGATATTTCGGGGTGGTGTTACGGTGTCAGGCGGCCACAAGCAGTGCGCCGCCTGAAATCTACGGTTTAGGGACTTAGGCTCAAAGACAAGTCCGTGCAATGACGGTACTCTGATTTGACCATGCAGCAAAAATTAGGGGCACCCCGAGTACCCCTAAGATTAGATATGACAACTGTTGAGACTAGCTCTCGAAATTGATAAGAAGGACTACCTTACCGCGGCGGCGTCTATCTCAATACCGGCAACTTTAGCTTGTTTCCGGGACGGCCGCCTGCTGAACAGCAAGATGGAGATGGGCTT